GTCGCAGCCCTCGACTTCAAAGGTGCACGAAGCCGACCGGATAGGAATGATCCAGACCGTAGACTCTGCCTCGGAAAAACCCGAGGTATTCCTCCGAGCCTATCCTATAACCTGGAAAAGCGTTGAGTGTGACTGCGAGGTCTGGGGAAATCCCTCGGCCGCCATCCTAGACTCGGGATCGTCAGCGGTCGCCATTTTTTGGAGATTGACGAAACAGTTGGGAAGGGAAGGACAGGTTCAGCCCCTCCGACCGGATGAACTGTATATATCCGCTATGGAAGACAATATTCATTGTAAAGGGCGAATAACGAACGTGCCTATACGGGTGGGGCGGGTGCATTGTTTGTGCGACGTAATCGTGCTGGATGTACAGGCGTACGATGTTCTGCTAGGCATTCCGTGGCAGGCGGCAGTCGGGGCGCGAATGCACTTTGACAGTTGTAAGGTGGTGCTCACATCGGCCTACCCCAAACCCCAAACGATACCAATGAGACTGGCGGTGCGCATGCGCACCCAGCCGGYGCCTCGACTCACCACGAAAGCCCATCAAATCAACATGATCCGACGCCTGTCACCAGACGAAAATGAACCCTCGATGGGAACTGACGAGACTGATGTACCCGACCGATATCCGATCCGAGTTCAGGATCAGTGGCGCCATTCTTGGCGGCGAGAACCACTAGAAATAGTTCGGAGCGAGTCCAATTGGTCGCACGCGTTCTCCTCCATGGTGCAGGGGGAACCCCTGCTGAGGGTGTCCCGAATAACTGACCTTTCGGAACCCCTTGCATCCTTGTATCTCCGAACGGACCCCCTACCTGAAAGATTTACCGAGTTTAGGAGTTGTGCGATTTATCTTTTCGACCTCCACGGCCCCTACTCACGAATGAAAAAGTCGCGATACTCCTGAAAGAGGGGGTGTCGTTCCAACCCCGAACAAGGGAATATCGGTGGGGACCGAGGGAACTGACGCAGGCCTTTTCGGTAGAACCCTCGGCCGAACCCGAACAGGACAGTGACAGTGACATGGAAAGCGAGCCGGTGAGTCCGGCGGACAGTCAACTTATTGCGACTGTCCTTTCGGTGAAAACCGACAACTCTTTGTTTGGGGGCTCGCCCGATGCCAGCGCAACGGTCCCCACGGTTACGACGACGGTCTCCCTTCCTGGGGGAACCATAGAAATTCAGTTACCAGCCCGTGTTCCGGATGAATACAGACGCCTCCTCCTGGCGGTTATATGGGCCTATCCTGAGGTCGTAAGTATTCAGGACCACGACATAGGGCTAACCCCTTTGATACAGCACGCGATTGATACCGGGGATCGCGCCCCGATACATTGCCGACCATACCTATATTCCCTTAACTAAAGACAGCTGGCGTTGGGAAGGGTACGGGAATTCGAGCGGTTGGGGTGGGTCGAACCATCGCTGGGACCGTGGTCTTTTCCCGTGGTCCTCGTGCCAAAATGAAATGGTTCGGTCCGGGTATGCATCGACCACCGAAAATTGAACGCTATCACTACCAAAGATGTGTATCGCTTGCCGCGAATCGACGATTTGTTGGATGCTATCAGGGCCGCGCGAGTCTTTTCCAAGTTCGATATCCGACACGGTTTTCACCATGTCGCAATCCGATCGGAGGACCGACCCAAAACCACTTTCGTCCTATTTGAGGGCACGTGGCAATAGGTCCGGTGTCCCATGGGAATTTGTAACACCCCCGCAACATTTCAGCGGGCCATGAATATGGCCTTCGTTGAATTCGTTAACAAAACCCGACTAACCCAGCCCCTGATCAATTTCTGCGTGATTGTGTACATGGATGATATTTTGGTCTTTTCAAAAACACACGAGTACCACGTGGAACACATTGAGTGGGTTTTGCATGCACTAAAGGATGCGGGGTTCAAAGTGGCCTTGGAGAAAAGCGAGTTCTTCTTGTCGGAGATCTCATTCTTGGGGTACATCGTCAYGGTCGAYGGACTAAAACCGGATCCGAGGAAGGTGGCAGCAGTTCAAGAAGCCCCGGCGCCGGTCACACTCACCCAGGTTCGGGCTTTTCTAGGGCTGGCATCCTATTACCGACACTTCATCAAGGGGTTCGCCGGTATAGCGAAGCCCCTCACGAACCTGCTGAAGAAAGAGGAACAACTGATCTGGACGCCAGAATGTGAAGCGGTGTTTCAGGCGTTGAAGGAGGCTCTGACATCTGCTCCTGTGTTGGCGCGTCCCGACCCGACAAGACCGTTCGCACTGTACACCGACTGACAGCCTCAGGCGATATCGGCGGTGCTGACTCAGCACAGGGCGGACGGAAGGGAACACATCATCGAGTATGCGTCCAAGACGCTGAGTCAAGCGTAGGCTAATTACGAAGCGTGCAACGGCGAATGTTTGGCAGTGGTGTGGGGGATCCAGCATTTCCGACCGTAAACCGTTGCTGTCCCTACGCAACAACACGGACTACACGGGGACACTGGGCAGGTGGGCGGTGCGTCTGCAAGATTATGACTTCGACATCCGCCACCGTGCCACGCGGCAGCATGGTAACGCCGATGGATTGACACGCCTCCTGCCGCCCAACAAGTGTCCAGCCAACGAGCGACTCATTCCGTGGAGGCCAGAAGTCGCGGCGACGAAACCACACTACGGGGAGCTACACGTGTTGCGCAAGAACGACGCCTGAGTCCGGAATGGAGGTTTCACCGGAGATGGCAGACGCTATCTCTTTGCCCTCATCCAACTCCCTCGCTCTCTCGTCTAGTCCCTACTCGTCCCCTGAAACACAGCTAAGTCCCTGTTTTTTCTGTACCTTGCCTATGGTCCCGGACCAAGAGGGGTCACATCCGGGAGGGCCCAGTTTTTTTTTGTGGGGGCAGTGTAGTCGGTGTCAAGCGGTCAAGTCCCACGGACAATGCGTTAGGTACCGAAGCAAAAAGACGTGGGTCTGTCCCAACTGTAGAACGGACCAAGCCCCTACCGAGAAACGGTATCTGGATGCACGAACAGCCGACGGATTCGCGTCGAGTGTCCGCCGGGCGGAAGTCTGGACGGACCTTCTGTTGCTACGGAGGCTGTCAGGCGACTCCCTGTCAGAACTTACCAAAGCCGAGCGGCGGAAAGTCACGGAGCGGGGGCAGGACTATCGCTGGCAGGGACCGACGTTACAAAAACGAAAAGTCGATGATGACGGAAGGTCTAGCTGGTTGACGGTTCCACACCCTTTTGCTAGGTTCGATTGGACACGAGCCGCTCATGAAGAGGATGCGGTCCATTTCGCGGTCAAGTACACGGAAAAAGCCATTGAAAAGAACGGATGGTACTGGTCGGGAATTCGGGAAGATGTGAAATACACCGTCCAGAATTGTCCGGCCTGCGCGGCGGACAAGGCCCCGGTACAGATGCCTCGAACGATGGTGCCCACTCGTGTAGAGCGCCCCTTTCTGAGGGTTAGCATCGACACGACGGATATCAACGTTCCGAGAGGTCCCGTCGATCACGGAGAGCTCAATGTTCTTTTAGTGGCCGTCGATCATTTTTCGAAATGGATAGAGGCGTACCCTATGACCAGCCGGAATTCGCAGGAAGTAGCCTGGTACGTAAATCGATTTTTGTGCATGCATCTAGACGTAGAAGAGGTACACATGGGCAATGGGTCGGAATTTCAAGGCGAAGTACAACGTCACCTAGTCAGGGCGGACGTTAAGATTATCTACTCGTCGGGGCATTGGCCTCAAGCCAATGGCCTGGTAGAGAATGCCAACCGACTGATTAAGACCGCCCTTAGACGGAATATCACTGTGGGAGACACCCGGCCCTGGCCGGTCATTGTCGACCACATCTTGGCCGTTTATCGGGCTACCCCACACGGTAGTACTGGGGTATACCCCTTTCAACTGAGAACCAATAGTGTCCCTCGGGTGCAATTGTCCCCCTTAGTAGGTACGGAAGTTAGAGCAATACGGGCCCAGAACCGAGATAAGGCCCACCACTACATGGACTTAATGGCTAGGGCCTATCCCTCGTTAGCTCGTCGTCGACAGCAGGCCGTAGATCGGACACATCAACGGCAAATCCGTGACTACGAGAATCGACATGCGTCGGCGGGACCACTGCCCCGGTGTATACCATGTTTGTATGGTGGCGTGATGTAATACATGAATCCACCTACGAAGGATATCATACATCAGTGGTTCAAGTGGGACTTCGTTATGGTATGATTTTGTTCATTGTGTCAGAAGTAATGTTTTTTGTAGCTTTTTTTTGGGCTTTCTTTCATTCAAGTCTGGCGCCTACCGTAGAAATTGGAGCTATTTGGCCTCCAAAAGGTATTAGGGACTTGGTGCAGGTATGGAAATCTGCGCGCTCCTCCAAAATCCACCCACGCTACACAGGCATTTACGAGGTCACAGAAGTTGGCGCACAGGGACAGCACTCCGTGAAGCTGATTACCCGTCACAACTCCCAGGCCCGACCGCTGACACGGCACGCTGCCGCGCTCCGACCCTTCCAGCCATCGCTAGGTCCTCTACGGACCCCCGCTCCTGCAAGATCACCCTCTTCTTCTTCATCCTCCTCCTCTTCCCGATCTGCCTCGTCCATTGGTGCTGAGAGTTTCAGGGAGCAGGATGAAATCGCCAGCCGGAGAATGAGCCCCTCGAGCATTTCCAGACGCCGCTTGCAGATCGTTTGTTGCGGCATCGGTTCAATGAGGAAAGGCAGTTGCGGTACGACATTCAGCAGGTGAAAGTGCCAGCGTCCGGGGTTGTTGATTTGGCGGCGTACTCGTTGCTTTGCGATCGGCTGACGTATGCGGGGGTGTACGTGGACGTGACGTAGTTGCCTGGTCGGGAGACGACTCGAGTCTTCATTGAGTTCCGTGCGCTCCAGGTGGCACCCAACTTCGTGCACAGCGTCGCCACCTTTATCGGAGACTTGACGATCCTACCGCAGCCGAATCGGGAGCCGGCGCGGAGCTTTGTGCGCGAATACGCGGTGGAAGCGGCCAGATCAGTGGCCAGATTGCAAGGACGGGGGGGGCACCTATTCACGGCCCACGAAGTGCTGCTGCGCAGGGCAGAGGACGGGCCAATTGCGTTGGTGCCACAGCTCCCCTCGCTTCTTCCTCCCGCCGCCCCTCTCAACTTCCAAGCCATTCCCCTTGTCCCGTACTAAATGCCTCCCTTCTTCTCTTACACCACCCTCCCCTATCAGCTCACGGAGGGCCCTTATCCCATGCGCGAGTTCTCGGAGTATTTGGTGGAGCTAACTGACGTGGAGCCGCTGCCCTTCGTCGACGAAGACGCGTGGGAGTTGCACCGTGCGATGTACAAGTCGGTGGCGCTGGGGATGTTCCGGTTCTTTGTGGATCACGAAGACCACTGCATCGGGGAGCACTTCGTCGTCTACTACGTCATCACACGGCCCAAGCCAGCGGAGAAGGAAGGGACGGTGGCGCTGTACCCATTCGCCCAGCTCCAGACGATCGATCCGGGATTGTTGGAGCTCATACATCTTGAGCTCCTCTCTATTGCGCAAGTGATCGCGAGCGAGGAGGAGGAGATCCAACCACGCTTGCGAACGGCGACGGCCCCGCGGAGAACGTACAACGCGGTCGTCATCCCGGATTACATTGCGCAGCGCGCAGAGAGATTGGAGGACTTCCCGAAGGAAAGGCCGTTGCGGCCCCCTCGTTGTATCCTCGACCGGCGCCACCGAAGGCCCCCAAGAAGACGCCAAAGAGGAAGAGACACCACCCGTCGCCAGGAGCGCAAGGCAACAGGATCGGCGGCGGCGAGGAGGTGATTCAGCCCGCTCGTACGCGGAATCCTGACCCCGTACCTGGGAGTGCAGCGACGCTCATCAAGGAGACTGCCGTGCCATCGCCGCCCTTTCCGCGTGTGCCCAATCTTAATCTTGATGGAGTCGGACCATCATCAGCAGCAGCAGCCGCAGGAAGAAGCCAAATGGGATTTCCGGATCCCATATACGGACCCCCCGTCCTCGCGGGACCTCTCCGTTTCCGCCCCGGGGTGCCCCGGTCATTGACATTAGTAGTTCCTCCGAGCCGGACGGTCCATCCGACAGAGGTGGACTTCATGGTGGAGCCCGCCACCATCAGGCTCGGGGCCATCGCGGGGGCGCCTCGCCCTGATCCGGCGTGGGAGCCATATCTGACACCCCCTTTTCAAGGGTGTATTGCGGCGCGATTGGCTGGGACGCTCATCTACGAGACCGGGCAGCGTCCCAATGCGATGTACCACTTCCTTGTCTTCGCGGCGCATAAGCGGGAGCGGCGGCCTTACACCGAGACTCATGTGGTGATGACGGGTCCAGGGCCCCGATCGGTGCGCAAGCGGGTGGTGCGAACGGTGGTGGATCTGGCGCCACGTGTCCTGTCTCATGTGTCGGGGGCCTTCCTCTATCCCTCGTTCGTCCAGCGCCACTTCCAGGAGGAAGATGCGCCGATGACTCCCGCAGCAATGGCCGCTTTTCTTCCACCTATTCCGCCCCCTCTCAATCCCGACATCGATCACTTCCTCTGATCACCCTCGTCTACCTCACCCCCGCTTCTCTCCTTCTCCTTCTCTTCATTATCTTCCTCTCCTATGCCCAAAGTTCGCTCGTCGAGACGCGCTGTGTATATGCAAAAAAAAAAAAAAAAAAAAAATTTACCGATCGGGCCAGCTGACGATGAAGAGCCCGCCCGATCGGGTGTATACTATGGGAGGAGGCGATGGAGAATGCAAGATGCATCCACGTAGATTAGGAATATGATGGGCCAGCTGACGATGAAGAGGCCGCCCGATCATCTAAAGACATGATGACCTCAGCAGTCGGGAGACTGCTAATTTTTCGGAACCCCCTGCGTATCATAGATGTGATAAGCTCCGACCCGTACCGCGCGGCTTCCCGTATCCCTGAGGAAAAATCCCTCTGAAGCCCCAAGGCATGGATGCGGACAAACAAGGGTTTTTCTTTCTTTTTCTTTTTGTTTTTCTTTTCGAAACGGCTTTTTCATTTTGTTTGGTTAATAACTTTTGCGCGGGCGAATAGCGGCCGCGGTATGAAAACCAAGAAACGGGGGCGGTTGAGACTTTTTGAATTTTTGCGCGCGCACGCCTAAGCTCCAATTTCTTCGCACGTCTCGCATCCTCGTTTCTTGCTTTGCATCCCCACGCCATCTTCCCTTCTTGCTGCGCGCATTTTCCCCATGCCGGACTCTTCGTCTTCCCCTCCGTCCAGCTCGATCCTTACCCCGCGAAGTGATTGG